CAGCAGTCAGCTGTAGTGCTGTACACTCAACAGTCAGCTGTAGTGCTATACCCTCAGCAGTCTCAGCTGTAGTGCTGCACCCTCAGGTGGCTGAGAGAGAATGGTGAGCTTGAAGTCAGCCTGGGCTACAAGAGTCTACCTCAAAATAAACAAACAAAAATCTCCAAAGAAAGGAGGAAAGGTTATTCTGTCCCATCCCGCCATTGTGACACTTGCAATATTATCTGGTAAGACCTACAACAGATACAAGACAAATTACAAGGAGAAAATCATGGCCAAAGTAATAATCAATGGCCCTGAATTCTAATACCATCTAAGTTCTAATGTCTACCATCCAGTGATACATGGTAGTTGTCCCACGAATTGAGAGACTGAGACAGAAGAAACCTGTGCCCAACATCTCTAGACCATTCAGGACAACTCAGCAAAACTTTATCTCAAATATATATATAATATATGTATATATATTATATATATACATACATACACTTATATATACACACATACACACACTAAATTCCTTTTTTTTTTTAAGTTTTTCAAGACAGGATTTCTGTGTAGCCCTGGCCATCCTGGAACTCACTCTGTAGACCAGGCTAACTTCAAACTCACAGAAATCCACTTGCCTCTGCCTCTCAAGTGCTCAGATTAAAGGTGTGTACCACCACTACGCCACCAAAAATTAAATTCTTACTAGTCTATCAACAGCCACATAACCTCCATAGAGCTCTGATTTTAAGGGTAAAATGGAAAAGGGGAGCATGGACAGGACTTTGCCTGATTCTTCTCAACTCAAATACTCATTCACCTACTATTGGCTCTGATGCCCACCAGGGATAGGCACCAGCTACCTTAAGACTGCACAATGAACATGCTTCTACACAATACACTTTTTAGCGCAAGCTTAACTGAGATACTAGGTTCCTCCCAAAACTTATGATTATAATCAGAAACAGACCATCTTCTTCTCCGATAGTCAGACTGCACAGGCTGCTGAACCTAGCAACAATTAATTTTGCTTTATTACTGGAATCCATTCCTTCAGAAAATTTATTCGTGAAAACCTTCAGTGAACAACAGCATGATCATGGTTTTCTAATGGAGGGCTTCACTGTTTTTTTAAATTTTTCAAACTATCTCATACTACACATCTCAGGCTAGTTTCAAAGTCATGATCCTCCTGATCAATGGAATTACAAACAAACAATACCACACCCATTTATTTTGATGAGTATCATAAAAATATATAGTTTTCTCTTTGAGTACAATATTATCATGTTTTGGTATGGATGATGTTCTCACTTAACAGCAGGTTTTAAGCAGTTTAAAAAAGCACAATTCACTTGCCACAAAGTTACTCTTAAAGCACACAGGCCCAGCTGGCTTCATGACAGTGTAGCTTTTCTTTCCTCATCACTGAGCTGGTAGCAGAAACCAAGGTACCAAATATCAGATTTCTGAGAAACTCCTTTGACTGGTGGGGTGAAATTATGAATTTGTAAATTTAGCCAAAACAAACAGGAAGGCTGAAATTGGATCTTAACAACAATTCACTCACAGCTGGTGGATCAGAGGTGCCCTACTCACCTCTCGCACTTTGGAGTGCACTGGAGATCTCCTTGGAAGGTGGATGCCATGGAACATGAAGTCCTGGATGCAGGCATTCTCAATGGTCTGAAACAGTAAGAGCGAAGGAAGACAAGCATACATCCCACAGGCAGTGCACTCCTTCAGGAGAGAATGCCTACACTACTCTGTCAGAGCTGTTACTATATGTCTATGCCTCTCACTATCCCTTCAGTTTCGATACAAAGAGTACACTTAGTTGCTTCTACTGTATCTAACAGACCAGTGAATCTGAGCAATGTAGCAAGGCAAGCTTCCCACAATCATTAGAAGACAGCTCTCAACAGACAAAGGACTGTACACGGGCCAGACAGAGACCTCAGAACAGTCATACTGACCTGGATGAACATCACATGCTTGAACCTGTTTCAAGACCCTCTCCAGAAATGCAGTGTAACTCCAGAGACCAAAACGAGATTTGGGACTCTCTGACAAGTGCTGGAGAAGAAGTGTGTGAGAAGCTCCTTGATAGCCCACAATGCTAAAGAACCTCAGGGTAAGGCAAAGGAAAAGCCAGACCCAGGGGACTATGTGTTACCCCACACAACAGGACACAAGGACTCTGTGGCATTAGGGAAGGACACAGGTATTGCTATCAGTATCATCGAATGTGGGCTAACAGGCTATCTGACAAATGATGAGACAGGAGCCATGCCACATATCCTAGAAGTTACACATGCCATGAAGACAAACTGGAACTATCAGAATATGGCATTCCCTTCTACAGGTTCCTCCAACACATCGATGGCACAGACTTACAGAGGAGAGCAACAAACAAAATCACAACGGCAATTTTCAGATCCTGAGAATAGGTATTTGCTGTCAAGCTGGACAACCTGAGTTTAATATCTAAGACTCCACTGGAAGCAGAACTGACTCCTGAAAGCTGTCTTCTAACCTCCACATATGCTATACTACAGCACACATGCACCACACTCATGCATACACAATATGACACATAAATAATGTTTTAAAAAAGGTTATGTACAAGAAAAAAAATAAGAATAAAAATTGGCCAGAGGTGGCGTACACCTTTAGTCCCAAAATTCAGGAGGCAGAAGTAGGCGGGTCTCTCAGTGTTCAAGGTCACCCTGGTCTATGAAGCAAGTTCCAGGACAACCAGGGCTACACAGAGAAACCCTGTCTCAAAAAAAAAAAAAAAAGAAAAAAGAAAAAAGAAAAAGAAAAAAAGAAAAACATATATATATACACAAATATCTATCCGTCTATCTATCTGAATTAAAATGATGAAACAAACCTTTACTATCAGCATTTAGAAGGTTAAGGCAGCAGGACAATGAACTGAAGACCAGGCTAACCTCAAAAAACCAAACGGAGGTGGAGGGAACTGGAGCAACAGCTCGGGAGCTAAGAGTAAGAAGTGCTTTTCCAGAGGACTCAAGTTCAACTCTCAGCACACGTCAGGTGACTCAAAACTTCTGTAACTTCAGTTCCAGGGGGATTCAATGCCTCTGACCTCCCACAGGCCTGAAACCCAATGTGCATAAACCTACATACACAGACCCTCGCAGAGATACATAATCAAAATAACAAAATTAGTTAAAAAAATTTTTTTAAAAATAAGCAAACTAAATGCCCTGGTTCTGCCCTTCTGCCAAAAAGACTACACACTTTTAAACTAGCTTATAAATCACCTACAGGGGAATATAGTAGCTTTGGTCTCTAGATGTAGCAGAAAATGGCAAATACTCACAATAAAGACCAAGTATAAGCATGCAGAAAAGCAGTGTGGCTAGAAACTGCACTCCACTTGCTCTGTGGAAGCCTCCCCACCTCCACCAGTCACTCCAAAGTCAGGAGGGATGTCCGCTCACCAACACTTTTGGATTAAGAGTAAGTTCTTCTCTTTGAGAACACAGACAACGGGGTAACAGACAATAAATGGACTGAGAGATGCAAAGCTCCATCTTCCTAACATACACAGTAGGGTTGGGATGGGCTAATATAATCAAAGTGTATGTCACAAACTTCTTAAAATAACATAACTGAAAGAGGCACCCGAGGGTCCTCAAAACACCATCCATGGAAACAGAATCCAAACATAAATGCAGCTTTACACTTTCTGTTGTGATCCAGCTGCCCTCACTCCCCCTGACTGACAGCAGAACTTCCTTGTGGTCTGTAATTGACAAGGATGTTTGTGTTCTCTCTGGCCAGTGGGTCTCCACTGAAGGAGTAGAGGTATAAAAGGTTGCTGGGCAAAATAAAGGTTGCTGTTCTTCCACCTGAAAAGAAGCCTCCATGTCTCAATCCCAGCACCCCTCCCCCACCCGCCAGTCTTGGCTATCCAGGCTGCGCTGGCTGCAGCAAGTGGAAGCCCCACCGAGATCTGGAAAGTGGGGATACGTGATCGGGGTCGCTCCAGGGACCGGCTAAATCAAGGAGCATATTGGGAAAGGTAGTGTTTTTATTTTTCATTCCCAGAGATTGAGGGATATCCTCCAAAAGATAAGCAAGTATAAAGAGGCAGGAGGGTGAATTGAAGGGCCTCAAAAAGTAACTGAAACTCTAAAAGCAACAAGGCACGGAAGTAATAAGGAAGACAGCCAAAGATTTTGTACAGGAGAGGGTTTAAATGTTCCAGACTGGGAACAAGCCAAGTCAGATTAAAAGGAGTATGAGTGTCTTCATCCCCAGAGATGCTCTGAGGGATGCCCTCTGGAAGATTGGCCAGTAGAGAATAAAAAGGAGGCAGAAAAGTGAATTTAAGGCCTCAAAAGATAAAATGTGTAGAGATGTATTATTGTGTTGACTGTGTTGTCTTTTGTGTTCTGGACTGGAGAAAGACATTTGATCTGGGAACTGCTAACAAAGGTATTTTGACTTTAAAATACAGGCCTAAGGATTTGATGCTTTGAAAAAGAGGTTCTGCTTTTGTCTCCACAGAGGATGAGAACCTGTGGATTCATTGTAAATTTATATGGTCTGAATCACCGAGATCCCCTAAAATGTTGATGTAAAATATCCCCAAGAATGCAGCACCCCTGCTCAGCAGGAAATAGCCAGACAGACTGACGACACCCAAGTTCCCTAAAAGATTGTTAAAGTGGGGGCCCTTTCAATGGTTCCGGAGCAGGAGCAGCAAGCCTGCTTCCCTGAGTTTTGCTCCACTCCATGCAGCAGTTCGGATATAGAGTGAGTGCGGCTGGGGCCAGAAGGCAGCTGGAGCAGAGCTTTGCCACCACAGTTACTGCTGCCGGACCTGCTCTCTTCCCAGACTGCAGACAGCTGAGACAGTCAACCAGCTAGCTGAAAAGAGTCAGCAATGCTTTGGACATTCAAAATGATCTTAATGGACATATTCAATTGGGCATATTGACCTTAAACCAACAAGTGGCTTTGGTTCAAGAACAAGTTGACTATCTTTGGACTTTTCAACAGTTAATCATGTTATGTGTGTTACTCATGGCACTGTATTGCATGCTTCTACTGTTATGGAACTCAATCGTCATATGAGAGGGGTTTGGAATACTGCTTTTGTTAATTTTACCACCCAGTTAGTGCATGTTAGATGGTTGCAGCACTGGTCTGGCTCCTTGGCGCTGTAAGTCCTGAGGATACTTGGTTTAGGGCTATGTGTCTGGGTAGCCACGGATGGGCAATACTTTGGGGGCAGGATGTCACCTAAGACAGGGAATATTAAAGGGCTATTCCCCATGACAGGCAAAATATTATAAAATAAAATGGGGGGAGTTGCAGTGATCCAGCTGCCCTCACTCCCCCGGTCCTTGTGGTCTGTAATTGACAAGGATGTTTGTGTTCTCTCTGGCCGATGGGTCTCCACAGAAGGAGTAGAGGTATAAAAGGTTGCTGGGCAAAATAAAGGTTGCTGTTCTTCCACCTGAAAAGAAGCCTCCGTGTCTCAATCCTGGCACCCCCACCAGTCTTGGCAATCCAGGCTGCACTGGCTGCAGCACTTTCAAGTAGCCAGAAAAACACAGAAAAAAGAAACAAGTCAAATTATTTTAATATTACATTTTGTTTAGCACAGTACACCCAACATGCAACACAATTCCCTTTGACTGCAACATTTCAATAGCCTGATAACCAGAGGTAACTGGACAGTCTAGACCCAGAGAGCACAAAATAAGGAACACAAGCCCCTGGACTTCACTGAAACTGCACATCCCAGTAAGGTGACAGCTGGGGCTATGCCTGTGTCAGCCCATCACACTTCTATCAAAATCACCAATCAGCTTGATTTTCAGATAGACTAGGCACAAGTTTTAAATAGTCCACCCATGGACACTTGGGTAACTAAACTATAGCAGATATTAAATAAAATGAAAATACCTTCAATATTTTCCCTGAAGACTTTTTCCAAGCTCTGAAATAAATTTCTGCAATGTGTACCATCAAAGACCTATTAAAAAAATGTTAATACAGGTTTAAATAATTAGACTTTTTACCATATAGCACAATTCAGTTACTCTCCTGCCTTAGGAAGAGGAAACAAACACAGGCTATGGCTCAGCAAATCTTCTGCAGTATCACCCGCCTCAAGTAGAAGGAGGACGATGGCAAGACTGGGAAAGGAGGCTGGGGTACAGACTCCTTCCGAGCCAAGGCTTCGGTGAGAACGCTACCACGGTCTGTGATGCAGTGACAGACGGGCTCAGAATTATTCTGAAGTCAGAAACTTCAACGGTGGGCTGGGGAGGTAACTTAGCTAGTAAAGGTACTTGCTGCCACGTCCAGATGCCAATTGGTGGGAAGAGAGAAGTAACTCTCAAACCCACACCCATACCCATACCCAAAAAATAAATAAGTAATTCATTAGAAATACTAATTCTTTACATATAGAAAAAGCTACAATAGGATTCAGCTTTAGCATCATCTAAGTTTAGAAATTTGTTCAGCATAAACATTTTACAAAGACGAGAAAGCAATCTAGAATACAGCAAGAGTTTCACACTCAGACTAGAATTAAATCCCAAGTCAGAGCTTATAAGCTATAGCTACCTGACACTAAGGAATTTAGAAACTGAAGCCTACCTCAGATGTAGGAAATGACTTTTTTAAAATGCAGAGGGAATAGTCAACAAAGCACCTAAGTAAATGCACACAGCTGCTTGGCGGTTCTGACTGCTGAGTATATGAAGTAGGCTAGAACTTCACACCTCTGGCCTTTCCTATTTATACCGCAGGGCTCCTCACAGCAACCACACCGTTCAGCCCACACCCAATTAGATGGTGTGCTCTATATTCCAAATGCCCCCTGAATACTAATAAAATGAACTTCGCTGTGAATAAGACAAAGCTCTGTCAAATATCTGACTAAGGAACCAGCACTGCTTTCTGCTCCAGCTACTCCAGAGACAGAGGTAGCCCAGGGACTGGAGAAAACAGGGCAGCAAACACACCACCTCGATGAAAGAAAAGAGGGGAACTAAAAAAACTACAAGTTAAAATCTCACTACTGGAAAAATAATTTACTAGAGGGAAACAACTATCCAAAAATACAGTAGTATATCATGAGATATAACTTCTAAAGCTTCTAATATTTTAATGTTAACAGGGTGGATTATAAACAGCTACAACTAGGAAGCTAAGGCAGTAAGAATTCTGTGTAGTGAGAGGTCAGATTGGGCTACATAGCAAAGCCTTATCATAATCACACACACAACTTTAAAATAAATCAAGAGACTCTTTCAAAGTCAGAACAAACTCTGTAGTACTTACTTTTGTAATCCAGACAACTGATTTTTAATGGTCTCATGGATCATTTTAATAAAGTCTATATTCCAACTGAAAAGAAAACTAAGAAACCTTCTTCCCTGTAGATGAAAAAGAGAATAAACTGGGTATGGTGGCACATACTTGTAATCCCACCTACATGGGAAGCTGAGACAAAATAAGATTAAGGTCAGCCTGGCAACACAGACAACATCTCACACAACAAAGTTGCAACTAAATGAAACTCTTCTAACAGCACACATTTAAGTGTTCAGTCCACCCAAAGTCAGCTGCTGACAGAAGCCCATGTCATTACCACGTGGCATGCACAGGGCTGAAGTGGGAAGCGCTACAGGTGGCAAGCCTAACAGCAGAGACCCATGGGTCACAGACAATCCCCCCGTGGGAAGAGCAGCAGCTGCATGCACTGAGCATCTGTCTTCAAGGACCTCAGATACACAGCCACACCGACCTTCACATGAGTTCATGAAACTTTTGATCTGACTATGATGGGTAGTTTATACTGTAAAACCAAAGAATGCCTGAAATCTTTGTTTGACCCCATGTTAAACTTCTTTATTCCCACCAACTTCCAAACAATCCTGGAGATGAAAGTGTAGCCCTAATGCTTGTCATCTTCCCAACAACGATGTTACCACAACAAAAACCCAAAGAACAAGGCCCTCTCCACACACATCCTGTACATTACTGTGCTGCTGCCACTTCACTCAAGACACACCCGAAGTCTGAAAGGGCACCTGCTGTTCTGGTGAAGCCAAAGAAACTGGTGCCAATCACATAAGCCCTATAGGCTAGCGACTAGAGACTTCCACGGGACCAGACTTTCTACTCAGGGTTAAAACCCTGAAGAAACCTTCTCTACTGCTCTAGAAGAAATGGCTGCAGAGACTGTTACTTTAGGACACACGCAACCCAAACACTCTGTATTATGGTCACCCTACACCCCAGCAGTCCAAACTCAATAACCACTGCATAACAGAATAATAACCTCACATAACAGAACTATTCTCCAGAAACCACGTTAATGTAAGATTATGTTTATTTACATTTTTTTAAAAATTGGCAGGAATGGATATTGAATCTAGGGCCTCATGTATTAGCAAGATCTCTACCACTTAGTTATAGTCCCAGCTCCAAAAATATTTCATATGCAGGCATACTTACAAAATACCATTTACAGTAAGTATATACTAAATATAAAAAAATTGTTAAGACACATTTTTTTCATGCTACGCTCTCTAGTACATGTACAATTTACACTTAAAGCACATCTCCACTAGAATTGGCCGTCTGAATTGAACTTGCTCAGTTCACTTACGGGACTGGCCCACAATGGGCAGTACAACAAGAGGCCAGAAGCCCCTCAATAGATTCCTTGAATGGTAGAAAAAGAAATGAACACTACTGTGTGATGGCTATTTTTGTGTATATGCCAATTAAACATAGTTATGTGGCTGGAGGAGGCTCAGCAGTAGAGCACTTACCTAGCATGCATGAGGCTCTGGGTTCAATTCACAGCATACACACACTCTCTCCACCTCCATACAGGGTACTGTTTGGTCAACTTGACACAAGCTAGAGTCATCTGAGAGGAGGGAACCTCAATCAAGAAAATGTACTCGTAAGACATGGGCATTTTCTTGAATAATGAATGATGTGAGAGGGACCAGGCCATTGTGGGTGGTGCTACTCATAGACATGCGATCCTGAATAGTTTAAGAAAGCAGGCAGTGGAGGCAGAGGCAGTTGGATGGATCTCTGTGACTTCAAGGCCAGCCTGATCTACAAAGTGATTGCCAGGACAGCCAGGCACTTGTGAGACAGAGAAACCCTGTCGGGGGGGGGGCGGGGGAGAAAGAAAGAAAAAGAAAGAAAGCAGGCTGAGGGGGCTTGATGGTATAAACTTTAATCCCAGCACTTAGGAGTCAGAGGCAGGAGGATCTCTATGAGTCTGAGGCTAGCTTGGTCTACATAGAGGGTTCCAGGCTATCCAGAGCCACATAGTAAGATCCTGTCTCTTAAAAAAGAAAGAAGATATTTCAAGCACAATATTAAAATAACAATAACCAACGCTTAAGGCTGAGGTAATAAGGGCTACATAAGAGTTTAGAAACCCTGTCTCAAAAAAATAAAAAACAAAAATGACCACAGGCTAAGCAAACCATGGGACGAAATCCAGTAAACAGAATTCCGCCCTGGTCTCTACTTTAGTTCCTGCCTCTAGAGTCCTGCTTTGAGTTTCTGCCCTGACTAGAAAGTTTTACGATGAAATAAATCCTTTCCTCCTTGAGTTGCTTTTGGACATGGTATTTTATCACAGTTAACAGAAACTCTGTGAAAGTAGAAAAGAAAACAGTAGATCTCAACCACAGGGACAGGCTTTCTCACACTTATATGTGCACATATGTCTGTGCACAAAGTCTGGCCCCATGGCAGTCTCCAAGGAGTAACCATCTTTTCACCATGAAATGTTCATACACTATATGTATATAATACTATATATTATACAATATGTGTGTGTATGCATGTGTGTGTGTAAAACACTCACCTTAATTTAAAATGGAACTGAGGTTCCTCCAGTGCTCTACAACCCACCTCTTTCCATCCAATTTAACGAAAGAAATAAGCCAGGGTCAGGGAAGTATGTGCCTCATCAGGGCCATCCAGTTAAACTGGTGTGAAATAAGTACACAGTTCTATTTTGGGAATGGAGTGCTTTCAAGACAGGATTTGTCTGTATAGCAATCCTGGCTGATCTGGAACTTGCTCTGTAGACCAGGCTGGTCTTGATCTCAGAGATCTGCCTGTCTATCTCTGCTCCCCACATGCGCCACCACGTCCAGTTTAGCACACAGCTCTTAATGGCTATGTTGGCTTTTCCACAAAACAGCACAGTATAAATGGCAGCCACGTGAACTTGAGAAAACAATCCATTAATAGCACGCCAACAAGCCAAAAAGAAAGCACCTACTTACCTCTTCCTTCTTGATGTAATTAATGTTTATGAAGCACTCGAGCAGCATGTCTTTAATTTCTCTGTTCTCCTCCAGATCGTAACCAAAGCAGTACAGAGCCTGATGGATGCGCCACAGCCGACACACGTCTGCCCCCTGAGGACGCGGAGACAACAACGCAGCGCGTGTTTTAGTTCTTTCTTCTATCAACAGTAAAGTCTTATTTCAAGCTAAATATATATTTTATATCATAAATAATGAAGATTATAGGATCATTAAAAAGTAGGACATAGTGACAACCTGACAAAAAAATTTCAGATATGACCTCTATACATCCTTTTAAGAAACACCCCTAAACTGGAAAGCTACAGATCCACCCGTCTAACTGATCCAACCCTCACTGAGTATTTTCTGAAGGAAGCAAACATACTGTTTTAGTCTCCAGACTTCTCCTCAGCAGCATAACAAATGCAGTCTTCCCCATGTCCTCCTTGGCAGGCAGGCCCTTTTCCCACCATTTGACACACAGATCCTGAATAGAGTTCTGGAGTTTTTGTTCAGATTCAGGTAGTGCGTATAAAATACCTAAACCACAGCACAAAGGTTTTCTGTTATTAAGCAAATTATTACCAATTCAGACTCAAAAAGTGCAGAATACCTTGCTATACAAACACTAATTTAATTTGCCAAATAATTATTATTTATGGATTCCAATACTTAGTTTTAAAAAAAGACTTACAAGTGTTATAAAAAAGGGTACAAACCACGCAGTGGTGGTGCACACCTTTAATCCCAGCATTTGAAATGCAGAAGCAAGTGGATGTCTGTGAGTGCAAGGCCAGCCTGCTCTACAGAGAGCGTTCTGAGACAGACAAAACTGTTAACACAGAGAAAAAGGTACATCTTGATGTCGCTACAACACCACCACCACGAACATAGGTCCTGACCACCAGTTCACCACAATCTCAATGTACTGGCCTCAGGGCTAGGCTCAAAGGTGGAAAACAATCAAAGCAAATACAATCAATAAAAAAAATATTTATTTTTAAAAACAGAAAGGTTCAATAATTATATTGCTAGAAATATGTTCATAATTATCCACCGAAGTCTAAATACCATCATACAAATATAAAACTCCTAAAGTAACTGGAAATCTGGAAGCAACTACAATGATAGTATTTGTTGTGATCCAGCTGCCCTCACTCCCCGTGACTGACAGCAGAACTTCCTTGTGGTCTGTAATTTGACAAGGATGTTTGTGTTCTTTCTGGCCGGCAGGTCTCTACAAAAGTTGCTGGGCAAAATAAAGGTTGCTTTTCTTCCACCTGAAAAGAAGCCTCCGTGTCTCAATCCTGGCACCCCCAGTCAGTCTTGGCTATCCAGCCTGCAGCAAGTATTCATCTTACCAGCTGTCTGGAGACTATCAATAAGCTGGTACTAAAATTCACACAGCACTTGAAAACTAATTTTTATACTGACTGGGGTAACAAGATAATCAAAGAAAGAGATACTATCAACTTGGGGTAGCAACATGGAAAGACGGTCAGAGGGAAGGTAGTTGGGAGGGCTGTCGGGAGAAAAAGGAGCAGGGGAACGATATAATTCTATTTAGATTAAAAATATACTAAGTTGGGAGGGCTGTAGGGAGAAAAAGGGGGGGACGATATAATTCTATTTAGATTAAAAATATACTAAAAGCCTGCGGTAGTAGCCTAGGACTTTTAATCCCAGCGCTCAGAAGGCAGAAGGCACGCAGATTCTGAGTTTGAGGCCAACCTGGCCTACAAAGCCAGTTCCAGGACAGTCAGGGTTGTTGCACAGAGAAACCATAACTGGGGGAAAAAAAATTAAATATAAAAAGAAAAAAAAAACTCTAATATCAGGGCTGGAGAGATGGCTCAGTGGTTAAGAACTTTGCCTGCTCTTCCAAAGGTCCTGAGTTCAATCCCCAGCAACCATATGGTGGCTTACAGCCATCTGTAATGAGTCTTGGTACCCTCTTCTGGCCTGCACTGTATACCTAATAAATAAATAAATAAATATTTTAAAAAAAAACCTCTAATTTCAAGAAATCAGACTAAAACAGCATCCTAAAAACATAAAGATAACCAAGTGACACGAAGACTGAGAATTTGATAGGAAAATTTGTCCCAGGAAACTATACTCAAGTGAGCAAAGTACTCAAAAGATAGTTTTTTGAAATCCTTAATATAAAACTGTTGCTATGTTTATAAAATAACTGTGTGTAAATATTTTATAACCAGGATTTTCATTAAATCAAACTAGTGTGCCCATTTAATAATCACAGGTATACAGGCAGTTAAAAGTTAACAAGAGCTATGAGAATCAACGCTGACTCCAGAGAGCATGGTCTTCCTCTAGGAAAACATTCAAAGACAGACTCCCAGGCTCTGAGGCAGTAGCACAAACCGAGAAATCAGCAATCAGATATGCCCTTCAACAGCACTAGTTATTATTAGTTCTATGAGTCCGGAAGACCCCGCAAGTAACCGCAGTTAGCACCTCAGAAGCCTCATGGGCAGAGCTAACTCGATTCCTCTGGCGGTCCCGACAGAAGAGAACGTGAGTACAAAGGTACGCCTTTAAAGTTCTGTTTCAGACTGCCACACACTCGTGAAAACAGGAGACTTCTTAAAGACGTCACGTGAGTGCCCGCTACTGAACATGCCACTTACCATTTAATATAACAGCACACTCCAGGAGGGCCCCATAGTTCTCATGTTCATTTATTACAGATACAGAAGCGAGAATTACAGATGTAATGGCATGTATTATTTCTATGCTCTTTTTCTATAAATAAAACACAAGTGAGATAAAATAATAAACACCCAACTTACAAAAAATCAAATAGCTAAGAAATTTCTAAAATGAAGCCACCTCTAGCTTATTGTAAAAAGCAGATTAAAATTAAATGTAAGTCAAGAGTCCTAAAAGAATCGTAACACTGAGTAGCAGAATAGCAATAGCAGGGCTGGTCAGCATGTAAAATTACAATGGACAGAACTGGCATGGAGCACATTTATATCTTAACTTGAAAGTTCAATTATTCAAATTTGGCACGATGAGGAGGCTGAAGCAGGTGATCTCTGAGTTCAAGGCCAGCTGGGTATGCATGTGAGTTCCAGGCTGGCCAGGACTAGAAACAAAGATAAATAATTCAAATAAACAATCTTTTCTTAACAGACAGTAAGGAGGAACGTTTTTATTTCTTAAAGACAAATACCATCTTTGGACTGGGCTCTGATTCCATTCCATCTTCACCCTGGTCTTCCACTGTCTGCCACCCATCCACGGGGCTTTCTAACAGCGTTTCTGTTAGTAAGTCCTTCAGCCTTTGCCATAATTCCTCTTTCTGTTTCCTTGATAATTCGTCTAGTAACTCACTTAAACTGAAAGGTTCAGAAGAATCTTTCTGTAAAATAAATTTTAAAAAATACAAAATATGAAAAATTAGTTGTATTCTTTTCATACTTGTATTAATAGAAAAGTTTAAGTATTAAATTAGTTACATGTTTAAGCATTTGGTTAGTTTTCAAATCCTTTTCAAACAGAGAAAAAGAACAGAATTACCAAACAGAAAGCATCAAATCTCTTCTCTGCCTCTTCTTCCTTAGAACCTGGTCTTTAAAGTTTAAAATTTCACCACCCACTTAAGAATCCCTAAAATCAAGTAAAATGTCAACACTCCACCTCAGCTGTCATCAAGTATAGAAGTATGCTGGAGGTAATGATGGCAACAGGAACAGCAACAACCAAAGGCTCGGGTTCCCTTCCTTCCAGGTCTTTGTCCGCATCGTCCGCTCCTCAGCCCTCAAGAGCAGTCTCTGCCAGAGCCACTGAGTCCCCCTAGCACCTCTGACTTCTACTGTCACCTGGACAGACTGCCCAGATCACTCTGACACAGTAAGAACAGGCATTGTCAACAAAGTGCAAAAACCCAATAAAAGGCCTTTCCAGCAGCTGCTCTGGGACAGTCCAAGTCCAAGTATAGTAACAATAATAGACTGTAGCCTACAGAATTAAATTAGCATCAGTGAGGCTATATGGCAAGTTAATAACAGATCCTTCATTAATAGCACAGGCATGCTACAGAGCACCAATGAGTAAGTACTAAAGAAATACAGAGTTCACAAATGACAAATTTATGGTCACCATAGTAACAGCCTCTGGAAAGAAGTATTCACAGATACGAAAACAAACAGAAGTATGCTGAGGAACAGGTCATCTGCAGATATGGGTTTCCTCAGGTTGCCCACGGTTACAACGGGAAAGCAGGACGCTACTACTGAACACCTACTTACTCACCCAATGACCCCATATAAGAGAGCTGTCCTGAGAGGCCGACGCTGCTAAGTGGCTCCTGCTGAAGAGGAGATACTAGATCTGACTGGATTGGCTAATAGAAAAAAGAATAAAAAAGAGCCACCAACACCTTCAAATCTTCAGTACTGTGGCAACCACAGGAAGGCAGAGATACTGTCTACCTGGGTTAAAGAGCGTTTAAGATATGTGACAGCTATAGGCAGATCCTGATGCTGAGCCGGGTCCTGGACCAGGAAAAGTGACCACAGCTTACCTATCTATGTTTCAACAGTTGTCACAACATAAACAGGTACTGAAAATAACTGTTAAAGTGTCATCTTGAGGACCTTAATACAGTTATATACAGTGGAATTTTATTCAGTTGTACAGAAAAATGAAGTTTGAAGGAAAATTGATAACTCTACAGAATACTGCATAAATGAAGATGACCTAGACTCATCACAAATTGTCTGCTCTTTCTCATAAGCAGATTTTAATTTTAATGCTTTTCTGTATTATGTATATAAGTGGGTGTGAAAGTGGGTGTAGGCTGTTAAACTACATAAAAGACCATGAAAGGCAGAAAGTGGTACTGGGGGTAAGAGAGCGCACCACAAAAACACACATGTGAACTGCAAGCAGAAAGGCGGACACAGGGTGGGAGCACACGGGAAGAGGGCAGAGAGACACGGAAAGTAGAGAGGAAAATTAAAAATTAATTATTAAAAATTATTAAATTTAAAAAATAAATTATTAAAAATTAAAAATTAATGTGAAAAATACCATAATGAATTGCAAGTTTAAATGAAATTTAACTTCAGTGCAGGGCCATCTGAGTGAGTTGCTGTGTTCTGACATGTGCATTACTAACAACCACTGTTGGCGTATACTAGCAATTATAGCACTCAGAACACTGAGGCAGAAGGACCATGAATTGAAGCTTGTTAGGCTACATATGGGTTCAAGGACAGCCTGAGACAGCTGGGGAGACAGCTCAGCTGGTTAAGTGCCTGTGAAGATCCAAGTTCGGATGCCATGAACTCATCTAAAAGGCTGAACGTGGCAGCCTGGCTCTATGACAAGAGATAAGAGGATCTCTGGAAGCTCTTGGGTTAGCTACAAGAGCTTACATGGAGAAGTTCCAGGCTAATGAGATCCTGTCTCAAACAAAAGATGGAAAACATCTGAAGACCTTCACCTGAGACCCCATGTGGCCTCCACATGTGTACCCTATGTTAAACGGACATACACTCAAGTATAGCCATACACAAGAATTCCAAATGTAGTTAGTGGTTACCAATTGCTGTATTCTTTATCCTAGAATCATTCTTTGTTTCAGAACCATTTAACACAGTTATAGGCATGTGACTCCAACCCCAAATATCAGGTGCATTTTTCTAAAACAAAGATACTTTCTTAAAAATATAATTATTAGCTCTATCCCTTCGTGGATCACAGCTCCCCACCTCCCGACACCCACTGCACTGCACTCTCCATACTAATGCTCCGCATGTCTGAGGGTAGTCTGTCTGTTTCTTCTCTTTTCTGCTCTCTTGGTGTTTTCCCTTCCCACACAAGAATGGTAGCGACTGTGAAAGCTGGCCACTTACTTCTATCAACTCCTAATCTTTCTCAAGGGAAAGCATCATCCTTACTACAGCATTTGTGTTTCTCAGAGACTACTAAATTCTATTAGATTCCTGTCTTTAGTGTACCATAGGCAAAATATTTTAGGATTGTGCTTCCAGTTCTATTTTCCCCAATAATCTCTGTGGGTTATCTGAGACAACTCAGGCTGTCCTTGAACCCATTATGTAGCCTAACAAGCTTCAATTCATGGTCCTTCTGCCTCAGCGTTCTGAGTGCTATAATTGCTAGTATGCGCCAACAGTGGTTGTCAGTAAGGCACATGTCAGAACACAGCAACTCACTCGGATGGCGAGACTCCACAAACAGGCCTTAAAGTGATACACATCTTTCCTTTAGGTCCTATCAGGTGAAACTACTGAAAGTGCCATTACAGAAAAAGGCATTTCATAACACTCAATTTGATGAAACCAGGCAAGGAACAATTCTAATACAACCACATAACATAAATTTATTTAGTTTTACAAGTTTTGTGGTGATTGGTCACATTAAGTTATTAAGTGTAAACAAAGCTTACTAATGCTAAACTAAAAAACACTAATAAATATTTCACTAAGATATCTGCTAGCTGCCAAGCAACACCACTGAGACTCAGCATTAAGCAGGCTGCTAGAATGGACTTCAGAAGCACACATCCTCGGTAGGTCACTAGTATACCCTTGTGTTACTACATTTGCCTTTCCATTGTGTGTGTGTACATCTGTGCACTTGTGTGAAGACCAGAAGAGCTTACTGACTGCAGAGAATGCTGCCTATCTAGCTCTAGGGAATCCTTCTGCCTCCACCTCCCAATGGCCTTTTACAAAGGTGGCAGAATCCAAACTCAGATCTCATGCTTATATGGCAAGCACTTTATAACCTGACTCATCTCCCAGACTCTCCATTTGCCTTATAGTATTATTAACTTACTTTACCATCAGCTCAGATCATTGTAATTTCAGTTAAACTATGACATACAACCTACAACAACAGCCTTCTGGGCACTAATTATGCATGAATAACACTTCTAACACAAAGCAAACACACTTCTAATACAACAGACATATATACAATTATAAATTGTAATTATATCTTGCTCCTAAAACCACTATGGTATGACCTGTGAGTTTATGCCATCATATAAGAACATGTTATAAGATCATTTCTCTTATGAAGAAAAACAGTTTCATAAATGTCGCCAGCAAAAAATCCACTATTAGGTTCTTCTCTAATTCTGTACATTTTAATTTTCACTTTATAATGTCAAGCAAATTGGCTCAGGGCTCCTAGCACAAAGGCCTAACTAGCACTCTGGTCCCCTCACTGTACCTGTTCCACACACCACCATACCCTTCACCACACACCATTATATCCAAACAAATTGTGCTGTTATGTCTGCAGATAAGGCTTCCCGCTTCCACCGCAAATCTAGTACCAGTGTTATGCAGCACTACTGTCTCCAGCTACCTGGCTTGGTCCCTCAACCTGCTCTGCACAAGCAGGCAGACAAGCATTCCCAGAGGCAAATCTTTCTTCCCTCTCCTTATTGTCTTCTTTCCCAGTTTCCCCTCTACTCTATGGTTCCTCTCCTGTCTACATGCTGGCTACTCTCTGCCCTACTGGACAAACTCTGAACTTCCTAACATAGCAAAGAGGGTTTCTGCAGTCATTTGGATGAAAGGTGTCTCCCATAGGCTTGGGTATTTGAACATTTGGTTCCCAGTTGGTGGCATTGTTTGGGAAGGTTTAAGTGATACAGCCTTGATGGGGGAAATACATCACTAAGGTCAGGCTTTGAGATTACATATCCTGACCCCACTTCTAGTTTGCTCGGACAAGCTTGCAGTTGAGGCTGTAAGCTCTCAGCTCCCTGCTCCTGCTGGCACACCTTCCCACCATGATGAACTCTTACCCTCTGGAACCATAAACTAAAAGTGAGCTCGTTTATATGTTGGTTTTGGTCATGGAGCTCTACCACAGCAACAGAAAAGTAATACAGCTTCCCATCTCTGCTGCCTTTCCCCCTGCATCTATGGCTGCACTCTGGCCCTGCCGACCCTCTTCAGGTTAAAACACAACCTGCCTTCTCCAGTCCTCAGGGACTCAGTACAATGAGCTCTTTGGCTAATTCCTCTTTATATTCTACTTTTTACCTCAGCCCAATAGTGGGTCCATTTAATTCTAAAGAATTTACTTATCTTTCTAAAAATAAATACTCACCCACACACACACAAGAATTCACTGGGAGAACTGTATTCACTTAGAATGTTAATGTCCAGAGTCAAAATGACAGTAAAAATAAAACACAACTTACATCAAGTTGAACAAACTGCAGAAACTCCTCAACCAGTTCCTTAGAAACCGCTTGGATGAATGTCTCCCGTTTTTCCATGACAGATGAAACTGTCTCTAAGGGAGCCTGTTTTACAACCCTGGTGGGAAATACAATCAGATCAGAACTTTTAAACGTGCAAATTTCCCCATAAGAGTTTATTTGATATGAACATTCAAGATTGAAAAATGTGTATACATCTACAGAAGATGGTCTCTAACAACATTCTGACACAAACTTATAATAATCTGAAAAAATATTTACTGATGATGTCATAAACGAAGTATCTATATCATTACATTGTGAATGAAACTACCAGCTAAGAAACAAGAAATCTGAACTGCCTCGGGAATCTCTCTCTTTTAAATGCTGGCTTGGGAAGAACTGACTCGTGCAACAGGTTCAAGCTGAGCCCCACAGCTGAATTCTTCAGACTCCTAAAGTGTTGTTCCTCCAAGAAGATCCCAACCAACAAATCCTCTCTTGTTTTTCAAGTGAGAATGAGAACCACAACAGCCCTGAGGTCACCTGGGAACTTGTTAGAGGGTGCATTCATGCCTCCTCGCTTCAGCAGCCTCCTCTTCACCCCTACAAGATAATGAGAGCACAAGGGATCTTGCTCATTCTCCTTCCTGAATATCTCCCAGGAAAACACCTGGTGCTAGGATGGCCTGCCCAAAACATATCATATAAACTGAACAATAGCTACAGCAAGTGATAGAACATATTTGCAATAGCACCTCTCATCTTATTAAATTTAAAAATCTCCTATGCTTTACAAATACAGGAATATGGAAAATTACTGGCAGCAATTATGGAGACAGTGAATCACAGTGACAATGTATTCCTATTTTAAAGTGAATAAAAGGAGAAAATAGCCTCAATTTGACAACTCCTCACAACAGTAAATCTTAAATACAGTCACTTCGTTCCACGATTCAAATGACTAAACTGTGAACCATAACTCTTTTTCTGATGAATAAAATGGAGAAAGGCTGATGGCCAGTTTCCTAATTCTGGTTACTGTTCTTGTTTACGCAAGTGTATGCCTTTGGCAATTTAGTCTGCCAAATAATGTCTACAGCTGCTAGACTTACAAAATGCTACGCCATTTTTTGTTTCTTATTAGTTCAGAGACAAGAACCTCCCTAGATCAGCCCTAGGTGTAGGTTTGGGGTGCTCCCTATGTCATACCAAGTACAAGTCCAGTCGTCCGCTGTGAGCATCAGGTCCTGGTCTGACTGAGATCCTCCCTGGTGAGCCCAGGTCTAGTTCTGGAGTTCTCTCTAGTCAGCTCGAGTATTTTTCTGAGCGATCTCTCTAGTCATACCCAGATCTTCTTCCGGGGTCCTCCCTCGTCCGCACCCAGGTCCTAGTCAGCCCGGGTTCAAGGCTGAGCTCCTCCCCGGTGAGCCCCTGTCCTGGTCTAGGGTCCTTCGTAGTCTGCCCGGGTCCTGCTCTGCCCTCCCGCAGCACCTCTCCCACGCCACAAGCGTCCGAGACCGATGGCGGGCGAGAACAAGAGACCCGGACTGGTCGCGTCGCCCAGCCGCGGCCGTCTGCCGCCAGACAACCCAGCCAACTCACCGCGCAGTGTTCACCTCACCAGGGACCCATCGTTTCCCGCGCTCGGACCAGATTCAAACACACCCGCGCGCCATCCTGACGCGCCCGCCCCCCGCCCCGTCACCAGTTGCCGCTCTCACGAGAACGGACGCTATCCGGGCCACGCCCGCGCGCGTCATCGCGGCGACCAGGCTCCGCCCCCGCTGGCCAAGCACCGCCTCCTGGGCAAGACTTGAGCCGCACCCGGAGTCTCTTTCGCGCTCCCTAGAACGCGCACGCGCGAGACGATTGTTTTTTTTCCCCCCCCTTTCTACCTCCACCCCCACATACGTTGGAGTGCTGACGTTATTTCAGTGTTTCTTGTTCGCTTCCCGGTGAAAGATCGCGGAGTAGACTGGGGACAGAGAGGAAGAAGAGAACAGGGGCAGAGGAAGGAAGGAGAGGAGAACTAGGACAGAGAGAGAAGGAAACAAACGACCGAGGAGGACGAAGGGGTATTTTACCTAAAAAGTTGGAACCTGTGAGATTTTTGCCCTCTCCCGTCTGCCACTAGATTCTAGAAGACAGACGCTGGGTCATTCTCTCCCGTACAGACACAACTCAAGGCCTAACACACTCCAGGTTGTAGACAGTCATCCATAAGATTGTCTGAAGTCACCTCTGTTCTTAAAACATTACAGTATGGCTAAGGAGAAAGGGCAAAGTTAAAATTGGACCTCATCGCAAATAACTATGAAACAGACTAGAATAGTTAAAATTGACTAAAATAATGCCTTTGACCATGACAATATCTTTAATAGTGGACCAACTGTGAAGTGCACAGCCTAGGAATTTATTTCTTTTGGAGTTGCATAGGTTAGACCATTACCTGACTCAGATTCAAATGGTGTGAAGCACACAACAGCTCAACAATCTGACTCAGGACTCACAGCAGCCCTATCCAAAGAACACCAATGCTATTATATCAGTTTCTTGAAAAATACACCCAGAAATACTTTCTGTCATACAAAATTTGGAAGCATGTGTAGTAGCATAAACCTGTAATCCCAACAGTGAGGAAGCTAAGGCAGGATGCTAGCTAGCTCCAAGCCAGCCTTGGACGCATACAAAGAACTTATCTTAAATATTAGGGTTTTTTTTTTTAAGAAAGAAAGAAAAGTATATAAAATTTACAATTTCATTGTAATTGTACTTAGGAAATGTGCTAAAACAATAAACTCTTATTAGCGAGGAACCAATAGAGGCCTATTCAAAGTGAGTTTTTAAAGCTATTCTGTTCAAAACCTTCCAGTGTCGCGTGGCTATGAAGAGTTCTTGCCCTTTAAGAGAACCCAGCCATGAGCAAGACCCTTCCAGTGATGAGTCATTGATTCTGAGAAAGGCTCACAACTTGTGACTAATTAGGAAGTGATCACAGAAACCTTTCTTTCCCTTTGGTGGTTTCACGCTATACTACTTGTGAGAGTAAATTTGATACAGATAACAGATCTTCAGAGTACAAGAATTAAGGAAAAGCAGAACTGAAAGCTTCAGGCAGGCCCTTTAACTGGACTCAACACGCTCTGCAGTTCCCTTGCTGACCTGAGAGCTGACCCATGTTTTGTGAACCTCTCAGGATGGACGTGCTGAATTGTGGGAAGCCTGTGGGAAAGAAACAGAAGTGAGGAAGACTGAGTCCCCTGGATGTAGCCACCCACTTCTCAGCTGAGTGGAACAGGGAGAGGCAAAAGAGCTAAGTGGTGAGGTTCAAATGTGGCCTCAAGATTAAGTTCTGTTTGTTCCTCTTCCAGGCTGTAATCCCCTTATATCCCTGACCTCTCTAGAAAGGTACTGCAAGGGACAAAGTGTTGAGGAGAGGTGAGCCTGCCCCCCCCCACTCCAAGTCTGACAGCCTTCACGGTGCTATAGTCACCGGCTTCTGAGAGGTACTAGATGATAATCTTCAGCACCACTATATTTCCTTGACAGAAATGCACGTGGTGTATTTGTGTGGGGAAAATGCTTTCCTACCATTAGGACAACTTCATCTTTTTTCACCTGCACTGCTCTGTCGTTTATGCCTTCAGAGAACTGTTGGTCCAGATTTAAAGCCTTCCTGAGACACACAAATACTGAATTTGGATCTTTATCATTGTCTCCCATGGGAACTCTGGCTTGACACAAAAATTTTTTGCTTAAAAGAGACCAGGGTGCTAGAGATGCCGCTCAGAACATTTGCCTAGAATCATTGAAAACCTGGCGCCACTCCATAGCATCAAATAAGTTGGAAGTGATGGGGCACGCCTTGAATCACGGCAGGGGAGCTAGAAGCTGAAAGTCAGCCTCTGTCACAAAGTTAGTTCTCTGTGGCTTGGATACTTGAGACTCTGTCTTTAAAAAAAAAAAAATGACTATCACTGGCTCACTTTTCAATTTTTTGTTCCTTCCTAAGTGCTTCAACAACTTAAAAACCTTATTTACATGATAGTCTAAATCATTCTGAGCCCCTCCTAGCTCACAAGGATTATACCACAGAATCCAACCAAGCCACAAAGCCACCAGTCTTGGGTTCCTCCTGAGTTAACTTCTCCCTTTACTCTTTTGTGAGACAGACCTATCCAGTCCAGTGAATATCAAACACAATCTCCCTAATGCCCAGCTTCCACCATGATGTTGTCTTTCCTCTATTGTCTTCTGGTATCTGATATTCATGAGGACCACAAACAATAAAACCAAGTGTCCAGAATGAGTCAGTTCATTGGAGGCTGATTTATCTCATAGTACTTCAAATATCAGAATTTTTATCTCTAGGAGGAACAAATGTTTATGTTACTGAATTTCTCTACATCCACAGCACTCAGACTGAGCCTGTATGTGCTGAAGGAGAGGGCCCACTTATTTGTACCGGCTACCCGGCTAGCTTACACCCGAAATAACCACACAGAAACTGTAGTCATTAAAACCCTGCTTGACCATTAGCTCTAACTTCTTATTGGCTAACTCTTACATATTAGTTTAACCCATCTCCATTAATCTGTGTATCACCACATAACTGTGGCTTACCGGAGATTCTAACCAGCATCCATCTCAGGCCAGCGACCCATGGCTTCTCTCCCTCTGCCCTTCTTCCTCCCAGCATTCAGTTCTGTTTTCTCTGCCTACCTAAGTTCTACCCTATCAACTAGGCCAAGGCAGTTTCTTTATTCATTAACCAATGAAAACAACATACAAGCAGAAGGAACTCCTACACCCATATATGAAATGTTTTTCAAAGGGTCAGCAGGATCTCCAAAACTGAACCCTTGTGAGCATGAAATATCACACATACCACAACCTCACAAGTCAGACTATGAAAAGCTCTTTCATTTTTTATTTAACAGCCTTTCTCTAATTCAAGCAGTTCAGAGGCGGTGTATTTTCTGATTTTCAGTTTCCATTTTCAAATCCCTTATTGACATGCTGAACTGATGCAGGGCAGTAGCACAAGCACAAGCAAGTGCAGGCAAACTCACAATGAGTAAGCAAAATTGGCCAAGACAACCTGTCCGCAGAGCAAAAGTACGATAACTAATGATGCACGCTCCTAGCCAATCACAACACACCAGCAGAGACCACCAGTTTCAAAAGGACCAACCAGAAACCTTCCTGCAGCAGCATAATTTTCCTAACCCCACTAAAAAAAAAAACCCAACCTGTTTACAATAAAGGTTTCTGTATTGGAATCTCCCAGAGACTGTGCCATTGCCTCTGCACTCCCATCCCCCGGGAAACGAGGGCCACACAATCGGCAGCAGTCACAAGCCTGGAAAATTCCCCTGTTTTTGTTGTAAAAAATAAATCTGGTAAATGGAGAATGGTGACAGATCTAAAAGCTGTCAGTAAGGTTATTCAGCCTATGGACCCTCAACAATCTGGAATCACTCTGCCTTCTCTATTACCAAGAGGATGGCCTCTTATAGTTATTGATTTTTAAGATTGTTTCTTCACTATACCTTTACAAGAAAAAGATAGAGAAAAATTTGCCTTCACAGTGTTTGCTTATAATAATTCTCATCCTACTATCAATGGACTATCCTCCCACAAGGAATGCTCAATAGCCCCACATTGTGCCAATACATTGTAAGTCAGCATTGGAAATATGTAAGCAGTTTTCTAAGTCTATAATTTACCATTACATGGAAGACATTTTGCTATCTGATTTAAACATGGATACTTTAGAAAGAAGGTTTGAAGAAGTAAAGAAAGTTTTGCCAAAATGAGGATTACAAATTGCTCCCGAAAAAATACAGAGAGAAGATTCGGTCAGTTACCTAGGTTATAAAATAGGTTTGCAGAAAATTAGAAACCAAAAGGCACAAATTAGGAGAGACCAATTGTGGACTCTTAATGACTTTCAAAGATTGTTAGGAGACATTTCTAGTCTACAACTGACTGTTGGGATAACACCTGATCTAACAATTCATTTAAACAAAACCTTAGATGGTGATAAAGTCTTGAATAGTCCCAAAGAATTAACAGCTGAAGCAGAAAAGGAATTGATAATTGTTGAGGAGAAATTATAGGAGGCACATGTGGATAGGGTGAATTCAAATCTTAATTGTATTCCAGTCATATTGCCTTCGAGAATTTCTCCAACAGGAATTTTAATGCAGAGGGACAATATTATCTTAGAATGGATCTTTTTCCCACATAAACTACATAAAAAATTAAAAACTTATGTGGAAAAAGTTTCTGAATTAACTATAAAAGATAAATTGAGACTTAGTCAATTAGCAGGTATAGACCCAGCAGAGATTATAGTGCCTTTCACTACTGATGAAATAAAATGTTATGGGAAGACAATGAACCATGGCAAAGAGCTTCTACTAAATTTTTTTGGGAGAAATTAATAGCAATTATCCCAAAAGTGATAAACTTAACCTTATAAAGTAAACTTCTGGGATTCTTCCCTCAATTGTATGTGATGCTTCAATAATTGGAGCACTTACCTTTTATACTGATACAAACAAATCAGGAAAGGTAGGATACA